AATGATCTTTACTAGGGTTATATTTTGCACCTTTTAAATAATACTGTTACCTTAGTTTATGTACAGAGTATCTTAAAATACAGCTAGATTCATATGCAAGGGTTATAAAATGTTATACAAGACGTTAATAATCTTCCACTAGGTTGAGGCGAGGTTACAAAACCGTTCCCTGCAATGCAGTTAATCAGTTCACCCCAAACCGTCAACCCCTTAATAAAATAGTTTTTTGTTGTTTATATTCCCAGAAAAGTAGAGGTATTTACTGCACTGATATTTATTTCTTGAGTTGTTGTTTGTGTGCGCCTGTTGGCTGGGGGTTTATGTTGGGTTTTTTTTTTTTTTTTGGGATTGTTGCTTTTCTTTTGTGGTATTCTGTTTTTGTTTGACTGTTTGTTTTTGGTTTTTTTTTTTTTTCCAAAGAGAGTAGCACTGTCTACAAAATCTTTCTGAATATGTTTGTAGTTATTAAAAATCAACAGCTAAGCCGGAAGAAGCATGGACATTGAAGAGACATTAGCGGGCAGAGGGAGGAAGTTACAGAGACTGCCTAGAAACTGGCGAAGTATGTGAGCTTTTGTTAGACTCTGTTTACTCAGTGGTTCTTGTAAGTTTAAATAGCTGCTTAGGCCTTTGGCCAGATTTTTACCTTGAAAGTTATTGCTGGAGGCATCAAAGAATATTTCAGTACTCACTTATTAAATGTTACACGGGGAAAAAGGGTCACGTAGCTTAATTGAAATGAAGTTCCTGTTAAATGAGACAAACATCTCATGCAGCTTTTCACCAGTCAGAGCGTTCTTGGGAAGACGGGGATATATGCTTCTTATCCCGCAGCGGGGCAGGCTGCCAGCAGGACCCCAGGGCAGCGCACAGAGAGATATCCGTGGTAGCGCAGGGTCTCCGGGACGCGGCCAGCGGGGTGGGAGAAAGCGGCGGTGCGGTGCTCGGGGGGGCGGTGGTGGTGGGAACTGGGGGGCGCGGGGAGCCGGTCCCGGCGGGGCCGCTCCGAGGAGCCCCGGGGCGGGGAGCGCGCTCCGCCCGCGGCAGGCTCGGCGGCGCCACCTGGCGGCAATTCGGCGGCACTGCCAGCCCTGCAGTCCTGCCCTGCCCTGCCCTGCCCTGCCAGCCCTGCTGTCCCGCCAGCCCTGCCCCGCCGTTCAGCCCTGCCCGGCTGTCCGGACCTGCTGTCTTGCCCTGCCCGTCCTGCCTGTCGTAGTCCCCGGCCCTGCCTGCAGGTCCCACCTGACCTGGCCGTCGGCCCTGCCCACGGCTCTGCCCTCTCTGCTCGCCTGTCCTGCCCGCAGGTGCTGCCACCCTGTAGTCCAGCCCTGCCCTCCCCTCCCGCCAGCCGGCTCCGCCTGGCAGGGCAGCTCCCCGCCCGCGCAGCGCCTGCCCTGCGTGTCTGAGCACGCAGCACGCTTCTGCTCAGCCCCTGTTCTCCCCTCTGCCTCGGGCCGCCATATCAGCATAGGGCCAGTCGTGGGCCGTGTTCAGTCCATATGGTCTGTGAAATGTCACTCGCGAGTGAAGGACACGAGCATAGCGTGTCCCCGCGGGCCCTGCACACCGTCCCTCCCCACACTACCCAGGCAGAAATTCACGGGACGCTACGCGGGCTTCATAGTTACATGATGTCTTCTGAGGTTGCCTTTGTACATAGACAGAATTTAATTCAAACGATAAAGCCCACGTCCGGTAGCAAAGGGACTCGATGGTTCCCTTTAGGTTGCTACTGCGGCAGACCGCCGAGCTGGTCCAAGGTCAGGGTCCCGAGGTCCCCGCGCAGTTTCAGTGGCAGTCAGAGAGCGGCCAGCACCAGCCCGTGACCCGAGAGCTCAAGTTCAACGCCCGCAGTGCTCAGCCGCCCGTGGCCACTGCACCGAGGCCGTGTGGGAAGCCCCGGGAAAACTTTCTCCGCCTCGAAACGGATTATTTAAGGTTGAAGTAACTAAAGAAGTGAGAAGCTGTGGCATAGATCTGGAGAGGGAAATGGTTTAACAATTCTCAACGTGTTGCTGTTCAATTTATTCGTTATCATAACTGGCTGTTTTTTAAAGGCATGGGGGAAAATGAAAGTTCTTCTATTCGGTTTAGCTATTAAAAATTCGTACAAGTTAAAAGATAACAACGGAACCCAGCGGACATGGGATAAGGTTTGGGAGACATATAAATCGAGTGGTTTTGTTTGCGTTCTCTGTCCTGGACAAGAAAATTTTTTCCTACAGTAAACACTAACATGAGAAACAAGATCCTATCGACACAATTACCATCGTCAAATTCTGGCGAGGGACGAGATAAAAAATCCGAGAGGTTCCTGTAAGAGAGGGATACTAGGCAGAGGCTAAAAGCCTGTGCTAAAAGTTTGAGTGGAATCCTGACTGTATTAAATCAGGGTAAATGCACTTGACTAAATGAGATAATTTCGGGATTGTAAAAATGTTTAAACGTAAATAAATAAATAAACCCCACAACCTTTTCTTCTGGGGAAGTACAAGCACGTCTGCAGCTAGAAAGCTCACGTATTCTGCAGATTCCCGTGCAATGTGTCAATGGAAAATGCGACGCGACTCCACGGGGCCCTGGCCACCCTTGGAAGCGCTGCTCAGAGAAGACAAGGACGGCCTCGCAAGGAGAAAGGCCCGGCCAGCCCGGCAGGTCCTTCTGCGCTGCCCGACACGGAGCTGAGCCTCGATGGGAGCTGTTCTCACTGGGCAAAGGAAGCGCCAGGCTGCTCGGGGCCTCCACAAGGCGCGGCCCCCTGGACCGGGGGTGTGGGACGCATCCTGCTACTTGTAAACTGGGTGGGTGCTCTCAAAGAACCGACCTTTGCTCATGAGATCATTTATTCCTGTGCATAATATCCTGCCATGCAAGGCAATGCTGTTTTCTACACCCTTCACAAAGCAGCTCATTATAGAATTGAAGTTGTTGGTCATGAACCCGCCCTAAGAGTTTTTGGTACACCGAGGGGCTCTCGCTGGAGCAGAGGTCTCGGCAGGGCTGAAGACCTCTAAGGGAGTCGCTGCAACTGCACCGTGGTTTCCTTTGATGCAGTCGACCTCAAAAAGCTCCGAAATCCTGCTCTTTAGGTGTTCCTTTCTTTCGCGGCCTTATATAAAGGTATAAGAGACACGAGAGAAAGTTTCACTGCATTTATTGAAAGAGGAAACACAACAGGACGTGGGAATAGGCATGGAAAGATATCCGGAGAAATAAAATCCTTCGTTTCTCTGGACTTCTTTTTATAGCAACGTTTTCGCTAGAAAGTTGCTTGCAGGGACATAAAAGGGTGAGAAAATTGTTCTTAGACAAAACTTCCTTCTAATTACTGAGGGTTTAATGTCCTGAGTGTAAATACCGATTCGGCTTATAACCGAAAGAAACGTGTAATCACGCCTGGCTCACATCTTAGCTGATTATGAAAACTTAATAGCAATTATGCGGTCAGAGGTAATGAACATGAACTCCTCTATGCCATCCGGTTGTTCCCGTAATTATGGGCACCCGTTTGTCATTCCAAACCCCGCTCCCAGATAGTGCCGACGATTATTAGACCGGCTACAAAGTAGGGCTGAGACGGGCGGCTACTGCGGGACCTGCAGGTATCCCACGACAGCCCAGCGTCCGGGGATCCCCGCCACCACCTGCCCAGGCTGCTCAGCAAGGACACCCCCAGAGCCCCGAAATGGTGTCGGCACAGAGTTTCACCTCCATGGCGGCTGCCTCTCTTCTCTCATGCGCCTGAGCCTCCGAAGGGACAGTAAACACAGCCTCAGATATACGATTTTCAGCGGCGCGGAGTTTCCCTCCCCTTCCCCTCGAAGCTGATGCTTTTCCCAGCAACTTTTTGTCCTCCGCGCCCGAGAGAGCCAAGTGTGCAATACACAACTGCGGAGCGACTGGATTCGGTCCAGATGGGTAGGAAGGGATTGGGGTTGTGGTTGAGGTTGTGGTTGGGGCTGGGGCTGGAGTTGGGAGTCGTCTTCGGAGCTTTCTCCATTTCCAGTACTTCGAACTCCTGCATTTCTATCCCGAATCAGTGTGAGAGTTGAGAGAGACGGTAGAAGGATTTGCCGCCGTCTTGAGAAGTCACCACAAGAACAGCCGTCAGCGTAAGCAAGCTCTGCGTTTTAACTAGGCTGCCTTACCACCACATGAACTGACACTGCACGGGGAAAAAAAGCCACATCTAATGAGTGCCAGGTTTACCATCCTGCGCTGCGCACAGATCCCGTGCATTTTCCTGGCCGGTAGCAATATCGGGGAGAAGGTAAGGGAGGGGAGGGAGTAAAGGAAGGGTTCTGCCAGGGACCAACAGTTCAGTGAAGCCAGGGGACCCCTTTTCCCATAGAACAAAGCCATTCTACTCCATATATCTCCGGGGAAAAGGGAGGTGGAGAGGATGGAATACAAAGACAAATACAAAGTGTTGGGGTTTTCCCCCTCTTGCAGGCGCAGCAATGAACTGGAGAAGGTCTCGCTGTGGATCCGGTGAGACCCTTGTCCGTGGCTGTAAAAAGGGCCCCTTCCCGCGGCCTCAAAAGGTCCAGTGGTACTCGGCTGGCCTTTTTGAAGCCGCGGGCAGGAGGAAGGGGGAGAAGAAGGCGACGGGGGCCTAGGTTGGTCCGGAGGGGCATCACTGCCGCTCGCCCACCCAATCTCCCCCCCCGCTCCAGCTCCGGGGCCGTGGCGGGGCGGGAGCGCGACGGCGGGGCGGGGGTGGGAATAGAGGGTGGGGGCGCCGTCGGTGCCGACCGGGGGGCTGCGAGGCGAAAGGGGCAGTGCGGGCAGCGGGAGGGTCACATGTTCCGACGGCAGCCTATGAGCAGCCCCCCAGGCTGAGGCAAACTAATCTGGGGCAGGCCGCCCCCACCCCGCTCCCCCCTCCCAACCTGGACTTCGTTTTTATAAACGTACCGCCAGGATCCAACCTGTTGGAGGCAAATAACCATCCGCATCATGCCCGGCCGGGGACCGAGCCGCCGCCGCCGCCGCCCGCGATGTGCAAGGCCATGAGCAAAGCAGCGAGCTGGGAGATGGACGGACTGCGCGGCGACAGCAGCGGTGGCGGCGGCGGCGGCAGTGGCGGCGGAGGAGCCCCCGGGCAGTGCCGTAATTTTCTCTCCTCGCCCGTTTTCGGGGCGGCGCACACGGGCCGAGCGGCCGCCGCCGCCGCCGCCGCTGCCGCCGCCTCGGGTTTTGCCTACGCCGGCGGAGGGGAGCGCTCGGGGGCGGCGGCGAGGCCCGACCCCCCGACCAAGGACTGCCCGGGCTCCACCACGGCGGCCGCCGCCCCCGCGCTGGGCTATGGGTATCACTTTGGCAATGGATACTATAGCTGCAGGATGTCCCATGGGGTTGGGATACAGCAAAACGCCCTGAAGTCTCCCCCCCATGCCTCCATTGGCGGCTTTCCCGTGGAAAAGTACATGGACGTCTCCAGCTTGACCAGCACGAGTGTCCCCGCCAATGAAGTCTCCTCCAGGGCAAAGGAAGTGTCCTTCTACCAGGGCTATACAACCCCCTACCAGCACGTTCCTGGGTACATAGACATGGTCTCAACGTTTGGCTCTGGGGAACCGAGACACGAAACATACATATCAATGGAGGGCTATCAGTCTTGGACTCTGGCTAATGGCTGGAATAGTCAGGTTTACTGTGCCAAAGATCAGACACAGAGCTCACACTTCTGGAAATCGTCCTTTCCAGGTACGAGAGGGGGAGAAATGGTCTGAGCAGAACTCCCCCGCGCCTCCTCCGCCTTTCCGTCCCCTCCCCCGCCCCCCGGGCTGCAGGGGCGGCCTGCCGAGCTGGACACGCTGCACAGACACGCATAGAGCAGGGTGGGGGCGGTGGATATTCTCTTTTTCTCACTCCCCCCTCAGCCGTCTACCCCTGAGAAAATCCTCACCCTCTGCTTTCCATACCCGCGGGACCGACCCCAGAATCTCCCAGCCACCAGCGCCAAGGCACCGGACCCCCGGCCCGCGAGTGCCGGGGCGGTCTCGGGCCCCTTCTCCCGCTGCTTCCCTCGGTGGTCGGGTTTGTGGTCGCGTTTGAAGTTTGCAGGACGGTGGCTCGAAGGCTTGCTCTCCTCCGCCTCTCCTGCTGGCGACTGATCCGGCGGCCCCAGAGCACTTAAGACACTGCGAGTAGTGAGGGCACAGAGGCACAAACCACATACAAACAAACCCGGGAAACTCTCACCAAAGGGATTTCTGTGTGTGCGCTGCCAGCACCGACCCACTCTCAGCCCCCCAGCCAATGCCCCCGCCGCCCTGCATGCTCGGTTAGCGATGCATGCCTGAAAAGCGATGACAGTCCATCAAAGTTTTGGTGGTGCTTTACTAGAGCAAATAATGTGGCAGTGTAAATAATAATAAACTGTAAACAACTCGGCATTATTTATTTGCCCATGAAAACCAGTGCCCAACAAGTATCGGTTAAGCTTTAAACGCCTGCAATAAAATTCTGATTTTTCACATAATGTCTTTTACAATAGGGGACGTTGCACTAAACCAGCCTGATATGTGTGTCTACCGGCGTGGGAGAAAGAAGCGAGTGCCGTATACAAAACTGCAGCTTAAAGAACTCGAGAATGAATATGCCATTAACAAGTTCATTAACAAGGACAAGAGGCGAAGGATATCGGCAGCCACAAACCTGTCTGAGAGACAAGTTACCATTTGGTTTCAGAACAGGAGGGTGAAGGACAAGAAAATAGTCTCCAAACTGAAAGACAACGTATCCTGATATATTAGTTGCGGACAATGATGAAAATATAAACTCAATTTACAACCAGCTAAAGACTTTCGGAAAGACTTGAAAATATATTTAATTTTTTTTTGTCCTTCCAGCGGTGGCGAAATTTCGGGAATTGTTTTCCATGAAAGTCAGCGTTTTTCTCTCAGTGTAAGGGAGTGTTGACAAGCCTTGAATTGAATTATAGTTTCTTCTTTTTGAAAATAATAATAATAATAATAATATTAATTATATTTTCTGTTCTTCCCTCTAGGCCAGTATAAACGAATTTAAATATGTTGAACGGTAACAGTTATAATTTTCTTTCATGCTTAAATCTTTGGGGGGTATTCTGTTTTGTTTTGGGGGTTTTTTTTGTTGTTTTTTTTCTCTGAGCACCAGCCAGTGCCAAAAAGTGTCAGTTTTGATTTGGTATCGTAAACTTCAAAACATGCCGAGTGAAAAAAAAAAAAATCCATCGGAAATACAAGAAAGCTGGAATACGGAGCCGTCGCAGCACTCGGCTTCGGTCAAACCTGCCTGGTCCACTGGGACCCGGAGAGAATTGCGTGGAGGGTTACTGGCTGCAGCAGAATTTTTAATTACTTTTTCGAAGAAGGGAGAACCTCTCCGAGCTGTTGCGAGGCGCAGAATCGCAGGCATGTCCCACCGCGCTCCCTGCTTCTGCAGATTTGGGGTCGAGGTTGGGTTTGTGGGTTCTTTCCGCCGCAGTTTCGTTTTCAGTGCAAGGAGTCCATACTGCCCGGCTGGAAAAGGAGCCGTGGCTGGAAAAGGGAAGAGCTGTGTCCCCGGGCGGGCGCTGCCGGACGGAGCTGCGAGGCTGAGCGCTCCGCGGAGGCGCAGATCGCGGCGCCTCGGGGCAGCGCCCTCGGCATGACGGATTGGCCAGCTCGCCCTGCAGCCAGAGGAGAGGCTGCCCCTACAGAGGTGTGTATGGACCTGCACAGACCTGGCGGGAAATGTCCGCTCTGCCCTGTTTGTCTGGACCGGCCCAAGAGACTCTTCTCCTTCCTCCTGCCCAAATACTTCTTGTCGGACAAGCGAAGGTCACTGCTAGCTTTTAATTTACAAAACTAAACGGGTGTTAATGACAGAAGCAATAAATAAGGAAATTCAAAAGATGCCATAATTTATATGGGCCGAAAGGCTAAGATTTTGTCGATTTTTTTGTTCTTTTAAACCTAGTGTGCATGTTATGATATACCCAGGGTGATCAGACACGCTAATCAACAACTAGGAGAGAGAAGCGGTATCCTCTCTGTCAATGTGCCTTGTCTAATTATTAAAATGTGTTCCAAACTAGTATTATTTATTATAATATGCTATTGCTCTAAACATTTTGATTACCCTTGTATGTGGTAAGACATACGATAAACCTACTTCTTCATAAACCATTTTTTAAAATTTGTCTTAAAGTCAGCTTTTACTTTGTGTTGGAAATACAATCTGAACTTCCAAACTGTTAACGATGTTGCAAATCTTTTCCTAAACCATCTTTAATAAAATTATTTCTTTTCGCTATATATATAAAAAGAGAGAAAGAAATTCGCCTTCTTTTGCCGCAGGGGGTTTCACGGGTTCCAGGTTTGCCTGGGGTCCTCTCAGGGACACTTACAGTACGCCGTTCCTGGGAAATGAGAGGTAGATACAATGAGATGCACATTGAAGAATGAGGAAGAGCATTCGAGAGTGCCTTGTCGATAAGAAAGGGTTTTAGCGAGAAAGAAATGTTGCCGGTGAGAAATACAGGGCGTGCGAAGCAGGAGAAAGGCTGTGTCTCCCCTCTTCCTCCGAGCGCTGCTCTGCCTGCCCGCCGCCCCTTTGTTCTCCATTTCTAAAATGTCCCGGCACTTGCCGGTTCCCGGGCGGCCGGCCCGGAGCGATGCCACTCCGTTTTCTCCGCAACCGGCTGGCTCCATCGGGATGTTATCTTCCCCTTCCTCCACCCTCTTCCTTCCCCTTTCTACATCGCTTGCACGTTCATGGCGTTTGTTTTCCCTGAGCGGACGAAAAAAAGGCCATTTCTGAGCAGTTCAGATTTTATCGCAAAGCGCATTTTTGTTTAATTCTAGTACAAAAGGACACTTGTGGTGCTCATCATTTACATGCCTGGAACGGCCCTCTCTGCTGATGCAACCTTGTTTTCGCCGAATGTTTTAAATTCTTGTCTTCTCCCCCTTGGCACCACCACTCACCCACACATACTGCCATTAATTCTATAGAGGTTTTTCCTCCCACCGAGTCTCCCTGCAGACGAACGGCCGGGCACTGCCAGAGCTGTTTTGTTTCCCGGCCGCGGAGCCATCGCGGGCTGTTCTCTTCCTCCTTCCAGGCTTAACCTTTGGCTTTGCCGGGCTCCGTGCTTTCAGAAGGCGCAGTTTGCCAAAGCCTCCTTCTCCGGGCAGAAGGAAACCCGAACTGTCTGGCAAATCGGTACCAGATGGAGAGGAGTCGCCTTTTAGTTTCGTAAGAACGTGCAGAATCATTAAGAAGCCAGCAGCTACAGGCAGGAGGAAGGTGAGGCGGACATCTGCCCCTCTACCTACCGGTTGAGAGCAAAAGGGTTTTCTAAGCCTGGAGCTGGGGCATTGGTGAGCCTTGTTCAAAACCTCCTTGGCCACAGCTTGGGCTCTTCAGGACATCAGTTTCACGTGGCCCCAGGGCCGGGGTGCAGCCGTGCAGCCCCCGCGGTAGCCGGCCACAGCCGCTCGTGTTTAGAGAAAAGGAAGTATGATGGTTCGTCTGAAATGTAGCGCACGTTATTGCAGATAATTAACATGTACCTCGACAAACCGAATTGCAAATGCACAGTGGCGCAATGATGCATTGCTCGGCTGCTGTCAGGCAGCCCTATTTCCCAGCCATGTCTGAGGCAATCCTGCCATCTCCTGGACAACCCCTGGCATAGGCAAGGGAAGCCTTCTCCTTGCTTCGGGAGCCGCGTTTCCGAGTGATAAATGAGTGAGGGAGGCTGATCGGTCACACGCAGAGCACCCTTCGTCTGTAAACTGGAAGACTATGCCAGTGAAATTATAGAGTGTGGTCAGCTCTGATGTCCAGGCCTGTCCGGACGCCTATTTAAAAGCCAGAGGGAAAAAAAAAAAAAAAAGAGCGGAAAAGAGGAAAGGAGCGTGTGAAAGCAGGCCTCCGGGTTGCCCTGTTCCTCAGTGGTGATATTTCCTGTATAGACACAGGCGGGGGGATACCCGCGGCATTAACACGCCGCCCCCAAACCAGCAGCCGGCTGTGGCTGGAAAAAGCAGCAGAAGCCCGTACGAGGCTCTCCTTCCACTCCACCCCGCTCCCCTCGGCTCCCAGGCCAGCCGCTTCTGGAACAAGATGTTTCTGTAAATGTTTTTTTTTTTCCCATGTAGATTTAAACATTTTCCGTAACTGTGAGTGTCTCCAGCTATTTCAGGTTTTTATTATTTTCTCTTTTTTTTTTTTTTTAATTAATTAGCAATTACAAATGAGTTGAATATTAATTGAAAGCTCTGTTTTCTCTAACCCCATAAAAGTTAGTTTGAAGTGTCACCTTTCTTTCCGGTAACTGGGAACTCACATCCATTCCTCGTGTTTATTGCAGACAAAAATATAGCCTTTGAACTGAATGTGCCTTTTCTCTTCCAAGAACCGAAAAACAGCTCTTTCGAAAAAGGCTATTATGAAAAAAAAATATTGCCCATCTTCTTCGGGAACACAAAGTTGGAATACAAGTCAGCTAATAAGAGGGAGATTCAATTGGCAGACATAATTCAAACAATCAAAATTAAAGGCAGTGGTCAGCAATATCCTCCAGCGGTGCTTGTGTGGTCCTGTGTGGTCTAGGAGAGAGCAATCATTTAAAGATTTTTTTTTCGGGGCAATGAAATTACTGCAGAATTTCCCTCCATTTCCCATTAAACAGAAAGATGAATTTGATTAGGAGAATGTCAAGAAGGGCAGTGTCTCTGATCTCGCCTTAGAAATAAAACCAAGATTAAAACTGTGATTAAGGGGATAATAACAGGGAAAATTAACCCTACCTGCTAACTAGGTTCAAGTTTTTAACGGAGGTAATGAAAGTGGGAAACTCCGGGCTTTAAGGCTTCGCTTGACGCCGGACTCAAGCACACCAAGGGAGATCTTCTCGGGAAAGAGGCCGAGGACAGAAACGCCCGGTCCGAGAGGCTGATCGGCCTCCAGAGTGTCCCTCGGATTTGTAGGGCGGTGGGGCAGGGAGCGGCCGGGAGCGCGGAGCCCGTGGGTACCCTGCTCCTTTCCGAGCCTTCCAGCTCCCTGCCAGTGTCTTTGGGTGCAGCACACGGGGCCCTGACTCTTCTCGAGAACCGCACGGTTTAGGAAAGGACACGAGCAATCTCCCGTGAGGATGCTCTCAGATATGATTTTAGTAACTCGGGGGTTGTGGGGAAATGAGAGAGATAACGGAATAAATGGTCTCTTGTTTGATCAATCAAAAATGTAAAAATATGTGTAACTCCCCAAAATAACACAGTAATAAAACAGTAAGGGATAATTTTCTTTTCAGGAGAGAAAAATTCCTCACACACAACCTGGGAGATGAGGCTGCCCCTCTGCCCGCTGCTGCGTTCACACCCTCTCTGCTGAAGAGCAGACCCTGGCATTTTCTTTCTTGAAGTCTTTCGATTTTTATTTATTTATTTATTTATTTATTTATTTAATCTCAGAGGATTGCTCAAATAATTCCGTGTTGTTGCTGTTGTTATTCTGTTTGTTGATGTTTGTTTGATTGTATTTCAAAGACAAAAGAGACTCCGGGTTTTAGAAGCCTAAAAGCGCTTCCAATTGAAGATGAAAGGCAAAAGGGGTAAAAAGGGGCAGACGTGCGGACCTAAGACAGTACTGGTCATTAGTGTGCCAGAACGACGATCCCGGTAATATCCGATCGATTAAGACTTTATTTGCACGCATATGCAGATGCATATGATGCAGTTAGGGGCAGAAGCACATACGTGTGCCTAAACATCCAC